TAAGAATGCAGCAGCTGGTCGGGTGCTGGTCCAGCCCTGCTGCCAGAGGTGTCTGATATAGGCCACTGCCCTTCATTTCCGCTAAGACTGGTATTTCGAACGTCTCTACTTTTGTGTAATTCTAGGAAGGAGACAGCAGATGACTTGAATTCTAGTCTTCCTCTGCCTTCCATTAGCTGCGTGGCCCTAGATAGGTCACCCAACCTCTGAAGAGTGATTTCTTCCTTTTTAACAAGGGAACCCTTCCTTCCTCACAGAAATGTTTTGAAGATCTAGTCAAAGTCTTCTAGAATGTGTAGAACCCATTGAAATTTAAGAGACTATTATCACGGTGGTGTGAAGCATTTATCATATCCTTTATAAAGTGACAGCTCTGCAGGAGAGCAGCTTTGCTATAGGGAGGGTGGAGAGATGATGGTGGAGGGTGTAAAGTGGGGGCTGGGGAAGCCAGAAGGAGGAGGTGGAGCAAGCTGTTAAACGAAATGACAAGTGACTAGAATTCAAGACCTCCTAGTGTTCAGCACTAGGCTAGGCCACCTACACACATTGGCTCAATTAACACTTACTACAACCTTTCAGATATTTTTCTACTGCCCCACCTTCACCTTTTTAGAAGTAAAGAAAAGAAAATGATCTGGCTCCTTGCATTTTTTTTGCCCTTGTCCCTTACTACTCTCTCCCACCCTCCTTTTCTCTGTTCCAGCTGCACTGACCTAATTGTTTTAGAATACAACAAGCTTACCCTAGCCTGAGGGTTCTGTGCTTGCTGTTCCTCTCCCTAGAACACCTTCCCCTCAATATCTATATGTCTCAATTTCCAATTCCATAGTAGTTTTAGTCAAAAATCACCTTTTCAGGGTGGCCTTTAGTTATGCCCAGACATTTCATATCCTATCCTGCTTCCCTGATTTGGGTTTTGTCATTAGCTCTTGTCTTGTCACTGTCTAGCATTCAATACTTTTTAACCATTTAGCTTGTACATCCTCTGTTATCTTCACTAGAATGTAAACTCCACAAGGACAGAATTTTGGTTTGATTATTGCCACAGTATTTCCAGTGACCGGAATAGTGCTTGGCTTATAGTGGGCATTCAACAAATATTTATGGAATGAGTGAATGAATGAATGGAAAACGGAACTGTGTGGGCTTCTTCAGAGTTAGTTTTTGATCTCTAGGAGTGGCCGCCAGCGATATAATTTATCCCAACACCAAATATTTGCACAATTCCAAGTGCTAACCATTATGTCTTTTGATTAGACTCCCTCGCACAAGCAAGTTGGCTCTTGAATTTTTATCTAAAGCTGTTTGTTCAAATACATAGAAAACTACTTGCCTTAAGCACTCCACGTATCCTAGGAAGGAGGCTTAACACACCAGCCTGATTGACCCACAACCAATGCTCCGTTAGCTCGAGGTGGATGGACATCTTCCTGGGCCATTTCCTGAGGAAGTGCTGCGTTTGCTTGTGGTATTGGGGAGCCTGGGCTGGAAGCAGCTCATGCTGTACTTGGACTAGATGGAGAGGACAATTTGTGTTAGGATTTCTACAGGGTTGTGGCCTATGAAGGGTTCCCATCACTTTATAGACAGAGGAAGTGTATTCTTATTGGTATTTTTCAAGTTTTCTTCTCTTTCTCTTCTTCTTTCTCTCTGCAACACCTCCCCCCCGCCCCCCCCACCACATGGAAATCAGGAACATATAGCCATTTGGTAGATTCATTCTTCAGAGGTAAGAACCCTGTGGTACAGCTTTATGAAACAACTTTAAAACCTTCTCTACCCAAACCTCGTCTTTATGCAACTCATTAATACCTGGAAGTTTAAATGACCCTAGCTAATGATACGTGGGGGGAAAATTGCCTGAAAGTTCTCTAAATGAAGAGCCGAAAAGGCTCTCTGCATCTCATTATGTAGCAAATATCACTAAAAATAAGATCTTTACAATATTCTTCTACTTCTGTGTTTGTTTATAAGGAATGTCTCAAGATTCAAGGCATCCTGTGCTGTAAAGGAAACAAGAAAACGAAGCAAGAGCTCACACACAGAGTGCTTTTACAAACTTTGGGATTTAGTGCATTTTTGAGGTCTATTTATCCCAGAACAGAATGCTCAGGGACTGTGGATAATGCTAATGGAGAGAATAGAATAGTATGAAGAGCTTGGGTCATGAAAAGGATCATGAAAAGGAGGGTTTGAAGACTTTCAGAAATATTTTCCTATTACTCATCTTTTAAACTGGATCCTGGGAACCTAGACCATGGTATATGGAGCCTTGGGAAGTCTTGAACATCATGGTATGACCAGTGGACCTTTCTACTGGGATCTAAGACTGAGTCCATTCAGTGTTTTGAGTTGAACTCTTTGCAACTAGTTGAAAGGGTTTTGAGACTGAGATGGGCAAATACTAGCCCAAAGAGACAAATCAGGGCCTGGCTCCCTTACACACTGCTCCTTTTCTTTAATTTGTTTTGCCCTTCTCTCTCTCTCCTCCTCATGTCTCCTCTCTTCCTATTCTAGTGCATATTTTTTTGTTACTTCTCTTTTTCACTTTTTCACATCTTGCCTCAAACAGGGCATTTCTTGGGCAAAGTTTGACTCCAGTGGTTGACTTCAGATCTAAGCAACTTTCTAGAGTTTGTTCTAGGGAAGAGCAGAACAGACTAACATGGGGAAGAGGAGCTGGACTACAAGCTGTAGGTGGAGGGGGAGAAGTAAGAGGGAAGAGGACATGAAATGTGAGGTGCGAAGGTGCCATATGCATCCTATCCTTGAACCTCATGGGCTTCATCCCATAGGAGATGATTTGGGTTGACTCTGGTTGGAAGATGAGATTGCCTACCCAACATTCCTCCCACTGCAGTTCCCGCTTCCACTTTCCTGGCTGTCAGAGACCTCCTTCCACTATAGAGGCTAAATGTGGCAGAGGTTCATTTTGCCACTTCTCTTGCAGCCAAGGTAGTAATCTTAGATAACAGGTAAGAAGGAATCTCTGCTGAGGATTTTGGGGGAGAAATTTTCTTTCCTTTGCAAAGAGAGAAGCATGGAAGGAAAGACCTCGCTTCTTTGTTTCTGGATTTGGTTGTGCCTGCATATGACATCTGGAACAGCTGCAGCAACCTTGCTACTGTGAAGAAATCATGACTGAACACTCCAAGGATGGCAGGGCAAAACCATGAAAAGGTCTGGGTCCTTGAGACCATTGAGCTTCCCATCAAGTCAGAAGCATCTCATGTAATTGGCCTTATTGTTTAAGCCATTTTTATTTGGAGTTTCTTGGTGGGAACCAGCAAGTACAACCTCATGCTTGGGCTTTATTTTGTGCTGACTTTTAGTTAGTTTCTTTAATGTTCTACATTAAACAGACAAAACATCCTATATATTTGTCTTCTTTTTCCAATGACCCTTACTATCCAGAAGCTGAGAGTTCATTCCTTGCTTGTTTTTATAAACTTTCCTAAAAACCAAAGGTTGTGGCCATCACACTAGAATAAAAAAAATTAGTTTCAATGATATTTTCTGATTTTCTAATGGATGCTATATGATGATGGCCTACATAAGGCACAGCGTCACTCTGGTAAGATCTGTAGCATCTTGGTGATGCGAGTGCAGAAGGGGCTTTCCTCTTGTTTTACTTCTCCCTCCATGTATCCCTTCCGAAACAAGGTCTTAAGGGTTCCCCTTGTTTAACACGTGGAGCGCTGTGGTAAAATACAATCTCCAGTGCCATAGCCCCCTTCCCATCCCCATTTCTGCTTCTGTATGTGGCAAGGTAAGAATTGTTTATTAATCTGTGTACCCAGTCCACCATTTTCTTCTGTTCCCTAAAAGTTTCTGAATTTACTTGTTCAGTCTCTTTGCTCTGATCCCTCCAAGGAGGATCCAATATTGTCTCACTGCTTCTTGAGATTCAGTGGAGGACAATCTGGAGGAAAGGGGGGAGGAGAAAAAGGCAATATGAGAGGCTGGCCAGGATGAGACTGCAGGAGTTCATGGTGGGTGAAGGTTTGAGGAAAGAGACATGGGAGCAGGTCCAGGTTGAGGTCAGGGGGTGGAAGGGAAACTTGCAGGGCTGGCATTCTCCCAGTTTGCACCAGGATGGCCAAATGGATTGTTCCCAGCCAGTATTCATTCTGAGAGATTAGTCCCTGGGCTGTACCAGTTGTTAATGTTTTGAACATCATCTCTGGAGATGTGGGTACTTTAAGAAATCGCGGGGAGATGTTGACTCTCTTCATGGTGTTTGAGATTTGAGATAAAAGTTTTAGAAAAACAACTTGGGATAACATTTTGAAATTTCTTTTGTGTATCTTTTTATTTTTGTCTGGGGAACCACCAGGGACTGAAGCACCACTCTGGGAGGTGCAGCCTAGAGGTGTTACCTGTATAATCCCTCTTTAGGAGGAAGCTATTGGTACGCTGGACTACAATTGTTTTTATCCAAATACAGGAAATGTGGGAAGTATTTTTGCCTTAAGACTTGTCTAAAGGGTTTAGAAACACTGAATTTAGAACCTATAAACATGTTTGCTTATTTGAGAAGAGTCTTATCTCTTACTAGAAAGTGTTATAGTGATAAGAGTCATGGAGTGAAAGTTGTCTTAGTTTGTCTTGGTTTGTATTTATCTTTGAACATGTTCTTGCCTCTCAGAACCACTATCTGTTAAACCAGTGTGTCATCAACAGCTATGTTGTGAAACAATTAATACCGTATTCTATTCTTAATTTAGCAGCTACTTGCTTTTGAGCCCAAATTCGGAAGTATATTCCCTCTGGCCACAAACAAGGAAGAAGAATGATTGCAGGTGGAGCTGGGACAGCCCAACAGAGTAGCAAAGTGGTATGGGGATTGGGGAGGAAAATGCTAAATGAAAACCTTTTATTTTCATATAGTTCCAGACCAATGTTCTCCCATAGGAATATAGCACGAGTCATAAACGTGACCCACATAGATAAGTTTAAATGTTCTAGTAGCCACATTAAAAAGTGTAAAAAGAAATTAAGCTGAAATTGATTTTTAAATATATTTTATTTTTTTCAATATGTCCAAAATAGTATTCCAATATGAAATCAATATCAAAATTATTGAGATAGTGTACCTTTATTTTCTTTTCGCTAAGTATTTGAAATCCAGTGTGTCTTTTACACGTGTAACGTGTCTCATCTCAGGCTATCCATCTTTCAAGTGCTCGATAGCCATGTGTGGCCAGTGGCTACTGTACTGAACAGCACAGCTCTAGACTATTTCTAAGGATAATTATTCTATTTTTCACTCATTGTTCGCGATAGATCAAGATGGTGCCAGGTCACATGGGTAGAGACGATTGCTTTTTCTTCTAGCCCTAGAAGGACTTCCCTATTAATGCACGTGGAACCAACTTTTGAAATGTTAGCCATAGGGCAAGAGGAGGAAGGATTGGCTTTGACATGGAAAGAGAATATGTGAGAGGAGACTCAGAGCTTTGTGGGCTGGTCATGGCATATTGCCTGGTGAGGATTTGTGGTTGGTATTTATGATCCAGATTATCCTGATGGGGTCATTTATGAAAACAGATATGGAAAGTATAGTCATTCATCAGGAACAATATGATGCAATGGAAAGAGTTCTAGATCAAGGGTCAGAATTAGGCACTAGTCCAGGCACTGGTCTAGGAGGAGAGAAGTAAATGAGTATTCACCAAACCAGTTACACACTGGGCACTTTATACCCATTTTTTAAAATCTAATTCTTACAATAAGCCCAACAGTTGGGTATTATAACCAACTCTAGTTTACAGAGGAAGAAACTGAGCCTAGAGAGGTGGAGTCCTGGCTTATCATGGAGTCAGAATAAAATCTCAGCTCTGATTCCAAAGCTGCTATGTTCTTAATGTTATAATCCATGTGCATGCCATATAGTAGGTTGTATCTTCTATCAGAGTTTAGCTTAAGAAGCAGAACCAGTCATGCATGTATGTATATATGTAAGTGGTAAATATTTGTTACAGGGAATTGGTTTATGCAATTGTGGGGATTGGTTAAGCAGTCTCTGTAAGGATGTTTTCTCTACAGCTGATGCTGGAGCTTGAAGTCTACAGGTCAGGCAGTCATAAAGGGAAGATCATGAGCATGCTGGAAGTCACAAGCACAGGATGGAACCCTACAAGGTCAAATTGAGTGCTGTTTCTGTTCTTGTTGCCTTTGATCTTGGTGATAAAAATATCTTGCAGAAGCTGGGGATCTTCATCATGGAGCTAAATACAAATATCTGGCCCAAGAGTCAAGAACTTGAAGGAGGATCCAGGGGAAAGTGGAGCAATTGCAGGTCTAGCTGCTGGTTCATAGCAAAGAGCGGAATCAGCAGATCAGCAGCAAAGTGTGTGAACGACAAAAAGGCTTCAGTTTTCCTTCTGCCCTCCTATTTTCCCAAGAATCTTCCCTGTGGCCCACCCTAATGGGAAACATAAGAAACGGAATTCTGGGAAATATAGTTCAGCCATCCAAATTGACACATTACAAAGCCATCAATATATATTTGTTGAATGTGCTCAATAAATATTTGTTGAATGAATATTGTGCTGCTTCTCTTGGAAGTTCTCTGGGAGTCAGAACACCTAATCCTAGCTCTGTCTCTTTCAAGCAGGTTGAACAAGTCATTTAACCCTTTGAGTCTTGGTGTCCTCATCTGAATAACCCCTGTTCTGCCTATTTACTAGGACTTTTATAGGAATCAGTTGAGATCATCTGAACAAAAGCACTTTGAACATTATAAGGCATAAAACAAATGTGATATGGTATTGCATTATTTTAATTACTAATGTTGTTAATAGTTGAGCTTCTTAATCTATCACATAGTTAATATGTGACCAATTTATCTTACAGGTGTGCCAGGAAGATTAAATTAGATGAAGTATATAGAAGCATTCAGTCAGCAATGCCATGGCATATTCTTCAAGGTCAAGACTTTATCATTTAACACTTAGATACATTTGCACGTTGTGTTTTAGTTCTGAGCTAAATGGCTTAGAGGGACAAGTGTGCAATTGGCACCATTGATAACCCTGGGAGTTGGAGGGCAGTGGCCATTCCTTGGATGGGAGATGTGGGCAGTAGATGAAGTTTCTGTCCTATAAGTCTGGGCTTGCATTTCATAGCAGCCAAATTTGCTCAGCAGAATGAAGAAATCCCTGCGGAAGTTCTTGGTGAAGATGGCATAGAGGAAGGGGTTGGCACAGGAGTTGATGGGGTAGAAAAGGACCAGGAGGATCTTTGACTTGGACACAGTGATGAGGGGCACCTTGAGGGAGGCAGAGATGGCAAAGAAGGAGATGGGTGCCATGCAGAGAAAGTCCGTGAAGATGAGGATGGCCATGCGCTTAGCAATCTTGGTGTCACTAGAAGAGGACACAATGTTGGGGTTCCTCACTGTGAGGTAGATGTGAGTGTAGCAGCCACAGATGACTACAAAGGCCAGAACATTGAGCACAAGGAGGGACATAACATACAGCTGTGACAAGGGGCTGTCAATATCCATAGGCAGGCAGATGCTCACCTTCATGTAGGTGCTGATGCCAAAGATGGGAAGGAGGGCAACGGCAAAAGCAAAGATCCAGCCTACCAGCATGACACTGGCAGCATGGCGGAGCTGCACCTTGCATTCCAGCTGCATAGCATGGGTGATGGTATGCCATCTTTCCAGAGTAATGGCTGTCAGAGTATAGACTGAGAGCTCACTGGCAAAGACAGTGAAAAAGCCAGCAGCATCACAGCCTGCTCCAGTTTGCCAGTCAATGGCATAGTTGTGGTACTGGCTTTTGGTGTGGATATCAACTGATGCTATGAGCAACAGGTAGATTCCAATGCAGAGATCGGCAAAGGCCAGGTTGCACATAAGGAACCGGGGAACTGTAAGTTTGTATTGGCTGGTAATCAGGATCACCAGCACTATGATGTTCCCAGTGATGGCTAGGATGCTAATAAACCATATCAAGACTCTGAGAATATCATACCCCATGATATCTTCACATGGATTGAATGCATCTGGCTTGGGGGAGCAAGTCACATCAACGACTTCGTTGCATAAGTCATACTCAAATTCACTGTACATCATGTCAAATCCTTTGGGGTAACTGGACTCATCATCTTCTGCCAAAGAGACTCTCTCACCCCTAGCCTGAGTCATATCAACTTCTTGCCTTAAAATAGATTTGTTGCAAGTTGTCTGAAGCTCAGAGCTAGAAAAATACAAAAAGGAATAGAATCAACATCCTGGATCCAGAATGGCAAATACATTACTGTCTTTGCAAAGGATAAAAATGATGGGGTTTCTACCTGGAATTTTTTTTTCCTTCTAACCATTTGTCTGCCCTTGAGGTTAAGCTCAAGGGTTAATGCTGCTTACTGTAAATGAACAGAACAACTTGTGTGTATATTCCTAGAGTTGGATGGCCCACTGGGGAAACCATCTGGCCACAACCTGAATATGGAGAGGAAGGCGCCTAGGACTAGCTAAGCCTTGCTGCTAAGTGCAAATAATTTACGGACCTGATATCAACTCCACCCTTTCCCATCGCCATCTCCATTCTGCTCTCTCTTAATGTGCCCGAGTAGGATATATCCCCATTCTTCTTCTCCGTACTTCAGCCACTGGAAGATTTGGAATGTTTTCGGATTCAGATGAGAACTTATTTTCTTCTGTTATCTCCATAAGTTAGAGGATCAGAGTCTGTGGTTCATTCTCCGCCACTGTCCCTGGCTCTTTGGTACTCAGGCTCCTGGGAGGTCTGCTAATTTGTCTGAGATGTTACTGAGAGTTCTCTTCTTTATTATCTCACTCCCTAGGGGTCACAATAGGCCTCAGGCATGTAGTTGTCTGTAGGGTAAGCCTGTGTCTCTCATATTAAATAGTTCCCTAGTGAGTGCCCGAAAGAGCAAATGCAGGTTGCGAGGGCGCCTGACTTATTCCAAGAATGTAACTCATCCATTGGGGAGCTGACTCTTTTCGGGCTCATTTTCCAGCCTTGGTTTTTCCTTTAAACCCAAATGTACAAGAGGCCTTGTGATCAGAGTAGAGGTACTTTCAGAAGGGATTTGAATGAAAGCCAGATGATAAATATTCTACTCAGACAGGTGGATAGTGTGTGTAGAGACAGAGAGGGTCATAGTTCTCCTGTGAAGCAAAGGCTCAAGGAATGGAGATCTTTCACACTGGGTCTCTTTTAGGATGAAAAAAACCAAAACTCACACATGTCCCTTCCCTCCTCCCTCCCTGAGGGACTAGCTGACTGTAATGTGAAGTGATTGCATTTTTCTGAAACCTTAACAATCTCATATGGGGGTGGGGAAGTGAGTGTTGAAACCCTTCAAAGATCCCCCATAAGAAGGAGATAGTGGCTGGGGGAGTGGAGGAGGTAAAGATTCGATTTGACACAAAAGGATGGATGCTGGCCACTGTTCCAACACACGTGGACTGACCTTTCCCCGTCACCCTCTATGAGAAGGGGCTTTTAGGGAGAACCCTCTCCTCTCTCTTCTCCCCTCCAGGAAGTGAACTGAATTGTCAGGAGGTCATTTTCCTTTGGCCCAAGGGACTCTCTTTTTGCCAGAGAATGTGTCATCTTTTGTTTTAGAGACCCTTAGGGCTTCTCACATCAGTCACGGGTTGCACTGGGGCTGAACAGTTAACATACTTGCAATAAAAAATGTGCAGAAAATCCTTTGGTTTAGTCAGAGATCTTACAAGAAAGGTGAGGCAAGCTCAGAGATGGGCATAGAGAGGACAAGAGAATCACTCAGTGCTCCTTCATCTAACTCCTGCCTCCTAGACCTTGTTGTTGGATTAGCAGCAGCCCAGTTCTAGGAACACAAAGTAAGTAACCTGGTGCCTGCAGACTGTGATTCGGTTCATTGGAACGGAACTGACTGAACCATCTTGAGGCAGCCCTCACTTCTTGGGGCTCATGTTGCCTTCTGTGAAGATTCTTATTGTTGATACTGCTACCAACATATTTTAAATATTGATGCTTCCCTTTCCTGAAACAGATGTGACCCAATGACATGAGTGGGGGAAAACAGTAAACAATGTCTCTGAAGAAAAAATAGAAGCAAAAATGGAAATGAGGGAAACAAAGTCTTGCCTCTGCAGTACCTTGGCAAATCCTAAGGATCATAAAGAATTTATGATAAAGGATCTGTTTAGAAAGTGGAACTCCTGGACCCCGATAAATCAGTGAACAGATACTTGGAAAGTGCATAGTCGAGTGGCCCAGGGCCTGAGCTTTGAAGACAGATAAGAGGGTTTGGATCTGAGTTTGGTTGGCATTGGTCGAGTTATTTACTGTCTCTGAGCCTCAGTTTCTGCCTCTGTGAGAAGAGAATAAAAATAACGCTATTACCTTTGTGAGAATTAAATGAGACAAAGGTGCAAGGTGTTACAGTGCCTGGCAGGGAGTACTCAGCAAACGTCAGCAATGGGAAGACAGACAATGCAGGTTACTGATGGAGTTCCTGTTGGGGTTTGGGCCCTGCGTGGGTACTTAGATGCGCATGCCACAGTGCCTGAATTTAAAATCTAGCTGTGAAGGGAAACCTAAATACAAGAAAAATTAAATAATAAAACGAGCAAAATAACAACGCAAGCTGAGTATAGAACTACAACAAGGAAATAACTGGTTCAATGAGAGATGAGGGGGGTCGTTAACAAGATCTATCAGTGAGAGTGTAGGAGGGCCACTGGCCAAAACCTCACAGTCACATGGGCAGGACATTTATACTTTGGCATAATTTCCAAATGAGGATTGGAAGAACAATTTTATCGTTCAACTTTAAACTTGAATCTCATTACCAAACCACACCTACTGTGGTATGCAATGAAATGACACCATTTAAAAAATAAATCCTGTGATTATCTTCTGAAAAGCATAACTTTGTCTTGTGTTTGTGTGTGCGAATTTGTTAAATATAAAGCCTGAACACCCACTGTGGTTTTTGTTACCCCGTTTTGGCATGTCCTCCTAGAGGAGGCGTGGGCCTCTCCCTTGCTGCGCCTGACAGGGAGTGATGGTAAGTTACAACAGGGACCTAGAGAGGGTGAGAGCTGCGTGGTCTGGAGGGCTTCAAGTCCTGGGACAATGTAAGGCAGACCTGGAGACCTCTAGTTGGGAGAGCCCTGAGGCTGCATCTACACTTCCAAGGGGTGGCAAGACCAGAGGAGTCTGAGCAACACAGTAAGATAACATGTTCCTGTGGTGTGTTGGTCCTGGGCCAGACAGCACACCACGTGCAGCTCTCACTGTGATCTGAACATCCTTTGAGATTTCTTGTAAAGGGTGTTCAGTTCCAGGGTTTGGGCAGTAAACTGGTATCTTTCTCTCCCTGGCTGGAATAACTCTGGTCTGGAATATCAAAGAGGCATCCTTCTGCCTCAGGCCAAGCCTTTAAGAACTCTAGCCCTCAGGAAGAAATTCCCTGGCCCTTGAGCTAATTTGTGAGGAGTGTCTGATTCTGGATAGTTTCCCAATGATGCATACTAATTCCGAAAAGTAGCTCCTTTTCTGCAAAACCTTCAAATGCGTCTGAGTGTGGGCTCTTAATTACTTTGAAAATATTTTGGGGTGTGTACTGTTTTGTGGTTTTTTGTTTTATTTTGCTTATGGGCAGGTCAATGTAAAAGGTTGAATGATAGCGGAGGCTGTTACACAGCGAACTAATGCCATAGGGAAGCCATATTCATGCTGGGCTCCTGTACAAGAGTGCTGACCTGCTTCATCTGCTTGAGTGTGGATTCTATCACTGAGTCCAGGGGAGGGGAAGAGCTGTGAGAACTCCTGATATCCAATAAATTCTATCTCCAATAGATCCTTTAAATGTCTGGAACATGTGCAATCTCCAAAGTACTCCCTCTCCATTCTCTCTGAATCCTGCGATTACCTCACCTTTGGAACCAATTACTTACTGGGACTTGGCTCTGTCTGGATTACCCTCTTTAACCTGGGCTTTCTCGAACCTTATCAACCTTGAAAGCTAAAGTGAACAGATGTCCCAATCTTTGTCCTCTCTGTGTGCTGCTAAGATCTGAAGATGGATTGGAGAGGCTTAGAGTGGTTGGGATGTGTTGTGGATGTGTGCATCAGCCTCTGGTATTGCATTTATGCTTCTCCCCTCCAAAGTTGACTTTGATGGTCCCTGGGACATTTATGAGGTACAGAGTTTGGGACTTGATGGATAAATTCATATTGGTACAAAGGAAAAAGGGAAAAATATTTATTAAGCCTCAGCTATAAGTCAGGCACTATGGTTGGTATTTTTCACGTCTTTTTCCTCATTTAATGTTTAGTAGGTGGTCTACTGCGTGGGTAGTCCCTCTCCTGTGAGCCCATTTTCATAGAATTAGAAAGCCTCCACAATACTGAAGCTTTGATCTAGAATATGCCTAAGGGCTGTGGTCAGGAAGATCTTTCTACAAGTGGATTCTCTTCAAGCTACAGATATGTAGAAGTTCTGGACCAAGTTCTGCATTGGGGAAATGCCCAAGCGAGGCTCAAGGGATGGATATGAGAAGACTCACGTTTGTCGTCTCCAGTTTGCAAAGGCACAGCAATGGCTGGGGTAGGTGAGGTTGGCCTCCATGAGTACAACAAACTTTTCCAGACTGGGAAGCTTTTTTAAGTTGTAAGTTGACCTGGCCCGCAGCTTCTTAAGATTTTCTAAACCATAGTTAGGCAGGGAATGGATCCTGGTTCCTGAAATATCTCTATAAGGAGAAAAGGTAAACATAACTCATTACTATAGGCCTAAATTTTCTTCTCGGTTGGCAGGCAAAAGAGCAGTGGTGATCTTCTTACATGGGTGAGGAGGGAGGTTCCAATTCATCCAACTCACCTCAGTCAGATCCATATTCGGCTAACAGGACATTTGGTTTGGTAGGAGCCCTGTTCCTTGTGTTGGTGGTAGGAGGACTTAGATAACAGGCCACTCTGAGTCCCGGAGACACTTGCATCCTGGCTGATCTGGGGCTTAACTGTAGTCACGTCCCCTTCTACAGTCTATCTATAGAATAGATCCCCACTAACTTACATAGGACTGAGGGATTGAGACTAATTCCTCCCTACCATATAACCAATTATAAAAATATTTCTGATGAGCTGTGATGAAATCTCTGACCAAATTTCAGAGAAGGGTGAAAAGAGAACACACCATAAGGGGATGAAGAGTCTTGCGGGCAACAGAGACAGCCTCAGAACAAAGTCAAAGTGGTGATATAGAGTGATGGTTATGAGCATGGCATCTGCAGCCAGACTTGCCTGCATATGTACCCTGCCCCTCTACCTGTTAGATTTGTGACCTTGGTCAGGTTATGTCACTTCTCTGTGTGTCAGTTTCCTCAGCTGTAAAATAGGAATGATGATTATCACCTACCTCAGAGGGTTGTTATGAGAATTAAATGAGTTAAAGTACATAGAGAACTTCCTGGCCCACAGACAGCACTTAATGACTGGCAGCTATTGTTAGTAAATGTCACACACAAACACACACACACACACACACACACACACACACACAGGCAGTTCTTGCTTTGTAGGAGAGTCTCTGCCTGGGTGAACTAGCAGAGGTCTACATGGAAGCCAACATAAATAGACAATTTAACCAGGTCCCTATCCCTGGAGGGTGCCGAAGTCCCATCCTTTCTAGCAGCAACACCAGTGACATGGATGCTTTTCTGGCAGCTCTGTTGGCAGCTGGAACCCACAAAAGAACCAAGACCAGCTGGTGGGAGAAAGGAGATTTAAATGGTACCAGCTTAGACCTGTTTGGGGCCAGCAGGTTGGCTATGAATGAATGTTTCTGATGGGGGTGGTAGCAAGTGATGAGCAGGAAGGATTCATTTCAGCACCTTTGGGGACCCTTGGATATAGTTGGGGAAGGAGAATGTTTTAATGTTTGCATTTAGTATAAGTCAAAGCAGTGGGCACTTGGAGCAATGAAACTTGGGGGTGTGCATATATATTTGTTACTCCATACGTTCTTGTGATCTGGTGAAAATTATTCTCAATACCTGTTTTCATTGTCATTCATTCTCTTGCTCAAAAATTTAGAATGCTTCCTATCGTCCAGTGAAACCAACCCCAACTGCTGCGCTATTTGTTACCTCCCTTTCCCAATCAAACTTCTTATACTAGTTGTTCATACTTGATGTCACTATTTCCTCATTTTACAGTGAAACCTAATTTCTTCCCAACCCCTTGAAAAACAATACTCACTGGGGTCGCATCTTAGTTCAAACCTTCTTGATATCTCAATTACATTACCTAGGTAAAACACTCCTCCTTTTTGAGATACACTCTTTCTTGGCATCACATTCTCTCCTATTTCTTCTGACATCATCTTTGACTTTTTTCTGATTATGTTTTCTTTCTCCTCTCTCTCTCCTTTAAATTTTGGAGTTCCTCCAAACTTAGGCCCCCTTCTGACTGTACATAATCTTCCCAGGTGATCTTACTCACTTCCTTGGTTTCAGATACCAGGTATAGGCTGATGGCTTCCAAATGTATATCACAGTTCAGACCCTACTTCTGAACCCCAGGCCCAGATAATCAGTTGTCCATCGGACCCCACCAGGAAAGCTGGTGATATAACTTAGTCTGAGTCTGAAGGCCCAAGAACCAGGAGCTCCGATGTCCAAGGCCAGGAGAAGATGGATATCCCAAATCAAGAAAAAGCAAGCAAATCTGCCTTTCTTCTGCCTTTTTGTTCTGTTTGGGCCCTCAACTGATTGGATGATATCCCCCTACATTGGGGAGGGTGAGTCGTCTTTACTCAGTCTACTGATTCAAATGTTAATTTCTTCTGGAAACACTCTCACAGACATGCCCAGAAATAATGGTTTACTAGCTACCTGGGCATCCCTTAGCCCAGCCAAGTTGACACAGGAAATTAATGATCATGACCATCTATCTCTCCAATGCAGTCTTTACACTGCAGATTGGGTGGTATTTTAAAAATGCCAATCAGATTGTGATTTGCCTGCTTAAAAGTCTTCAGTGATTCCCCATTGTACTTTCAAGGAAGTACAAAGCACTGGATGGCCAGTTATTTGCCTGGTTTCTCTCTCATCCATTCTGTGCCCTTCCCTGTGTTCTGCCTCCCTATTGCAGGAGGAATGGCGCCTGTGGCTTCCATTTCCCAGGTACCACCTTGTCAATCAGTTTTCAGTTGGGTTCAGCAAATGGCCATGTGGGAGATTGGAGGGTGGGAGGAAGGATAAGTTAGGGCATTTCTCACCCTTCCTCTGCCTCAGGCAATAGCTCCTCTGTGACTCCAGCTGTCATTGGACAGATCTGCTGAAGATCCAGCTTCTACCAGTTGCCCTAGTTACTGTGCTGCAGTAAAACCACATGCTTGCTTGCTCCTCAAGTCCTAGTCTTAGTAGTGGTTACCTACCATTGCTAATCTCTGGACTGCTAATTGCCCCTTGCCATTTGGGCAAATTTACATTTTCAGAGCTAATGGTTACCTTTATATAATACTTATATATGTTTCACTTAGTCTCCTCCTTGTTAGATGTCAAGTAGATCAAATTTGTCAATACTGGTGTCCAAATAGTTCTGTAGGCCTACCGATCTTTTGCTTGCTTGTTCTATCACTACTGAGAGAAGTGCATTACAATAGCCAACCATGATTTTGGATTTGTATACTACTACTTTTAGTTTTGTCAATTTTTGTTTGACATATTTTTGACAGTTTTTTTGGTACATAAAAATTTTGAATTTTCATATCTTTCTGCTGACTGTCTTTATATCTAGTAATATTTGTCTCCTAACTCTTTGGAAGTTTCTTCTTTGCTGGTTCCTCCCTGACCTCCAGCTGTTGGAGTACCCATGGGCTCAATGCCGAGACTTCTTTTCTCCATTTTCACTTACTCTATAGGCGAACTCACCCAGTCTTATGACTTAAGCACCATTTATATCCTGATGGCACCCCAATTTTTATCTCTAGGTTGTTCTTCTCTCCTGAACTCCAGACTCTTATATTCAATTGCCTCCTTTTAATTTCTACCTGGCTGTCTAATAGGCAAGTCAAGCTTTGGATGTTGATAATTGAGCTCCTGATCTTCTCTGAAAACCTGCTTCACTTTAAGCCTTTCCAGTTGTTCATGCAAAAACTTTGAAGTCATCCTTGACTCTTCTCTTTCTCTCACACCCCATATATAAACCCTCAGCAAAATATCTTGACTTTGTCTTCCACATATATCTGGAATTTAACTACTTCTCATGACATTCATTGCTACACCACAGGGTAAAATTTCTGGTGTTCCAAAGTCTCTTTTCTAGTTCTCTCCTGTGTATTATAATTCTTTGGAGCTGGGCTCCCTGGAGCTAAGAGTCTGCTCCGTGAACCTTTGTCCCTGTGATGCTCTTCGCTCTTTGCTGCTGGATGATCCATCTGTCCTAGCCTGCTCTCCACTTGCACTTTCCATTGTCCCAGAGCCTCCCAAGGTTTTTCTCTGCCCTAGAAAATCTCTCCTGTTTCTCTCTTCAGGCATTGCTCTCTGACCAGTTCTGCTATTGACACTCACTCTGGTCTCTCTGATCAAGTTCTTGTTTCGTCTGGCATTTGGGCTCCTCTTTTTTTCCTCAAATGTGGAAGGGAGCAAAGACTACCTGTTTTGTCTAAAGCAGTTCAAGGTTCCCCCTCCCTGCGTGAGGAATTAGATGAAAGCATGAAGACCTTCAGGAACAGTTTAAACCAGGGCAATGATTACTGGCCGTGAACATTTTTCATATTTTTAAAAGGAAGCGATAAAAAATACAAGACTATTTTTTCTTAGTTATGCCTTCTCCCCTTTGAGTTTAGAATATTATAAAATCATATTAATTAAAGATTGTCAAAGATAAACAAACTTTTATATTCCATGCAATGCTATCCCATTATCTCATATACTCCATGGTGGATTAAAGATGAGTGCAAATTCTTTACACTCTTTCCATAGAGGAAAAGTTTGCCATTCTGTTGAATTCAGGCTAAACTGTGATGTTTTAGGACTATAATAGAGTAAGATAAAAGTGTTGATATACAAGTTCTGGACCTGCCTTTAAGAGCACTGGCAGCTTCTAAATAGGTCTTATAGGGCCCTAGGTGCCATGAAAAGAACTCTGAATACCCTGAGACTGCTGTGCTGGGAGAAGTCTAAGCCATGTGGAGGGATCCTGGAGGATAGGATACTGTGGCTGTGTGTTTGTGTGTGGATAGAGAGATGCACCAAGGAGCACAGGTGCACCAGATATGTGAGTGAAAGGAACAACTTGGAAGTAGATCCCCCAGACCCAGCCACCTGAGCTGACCTCACATGGATCAGAGACAAGCCACCCAAATTTCTGAAACACAAAATTGTGAACAAGATGGAATGAATGTTTTAAGCCACTAAGTTTTAGGATAATTCTATGCAGCAATAGAGAACCAAAAGAGACTCTCCTTGAAGACTCTATGACTCCATCATCTCTGACAGTTGTAGAGGTATTTTTCCTTGAAAGCCATTAAGAGTACATTAGCATTATTTTCTATATATTTGCTGCCTCTCTCACCACTCACTGTCTTTTGCTTTATATACTAACTTCCTGTATTTGCATTTTCTCTCTCCTTGAGAGCTGAGGGCTCCTTGCCTTCTCAGCAGTGCCTTTCACATAGTAAGCACCAAGAAAATTGTTGCTTTGGTTGAAGATATGCTGGGGAGTGACACTGAAGAAAGATTGTGAA